TGAAGTCAAGACTCTGGCCCGCTTCTTGGATGTTTACATTCTTCCCCAAGGCAAATACCATGTGTATTTCCTGCCTGAATAACCCTTCTCAGTTGTAGATATAGGTACCTAGCTGTCTATTTAAGATGTATACTCGAAGCTCTTACAGGTATTTCACATCTTATTTTTCCATTGAATAATTATACCATGTATATGTATGCAAATTAGAAATATAGATTCACTTTTTCTTCTTACCACTACCCATGCTATTACTCTTTGAGTATTGGATATTAAATAACATATATGCGAATGCTGCCCCTTTTGTGGTAAGCACTGTCTTCTTTGCACCTATAAATTTTCAAACATTTTTATGATTGAGATTATAATTACAGCATTTCTTCCTTCTTTTTCCTTGCTCCAAAACTTCCTTTATACCCTCCCATTCTCTTTCAAATTCATGGCCTCTTCTTTCATTGTTATTGTGTGCAAACATATATACATACACATATATACATATATTCCTAAACATAATATTCTCAGTTCATATAATGTTGTTTGTATTATGCTTTTTGGGCTGACCATTTTGGCACTGGACAAGCAGTTGGTGTGCTCTTCTGTGGGGAGGACCACCTCTCCTGCCTCCTCGTAGCTCTCATTCTGCCAACATCAGCATCTCACCAGGGAGGAACAGCACTAAGAGGCTGCTTCTCATTACTTTTGTGAACTCATTTCAGGTGCTTTCCTCCCCGAGAGAGAACACAGAAAGGAGTTCCCATCTCAAGGCATTTCCTCTTGAGCTCTACTCTGTTTCCTCGATGTCTGTGTCCTCTCCAAAGGTCACCTGGATATCATCTGCAGTGTTCCTGGACTACCTAACATTTCCCTCTCGTTTAATCGCTCTGTATCACACCTTCATGCTTATGCCCTTTAGAGTTTTATAATCCAGGTCTAATTCAGAAGATTGGAGAGATGAATTATAACGATCTGAATCCATTCCACAGCATCTGCAGTAGAATTGCCAGGCAGAGTAGCGTTGTCACTGAAATCCCAACATGGGTGAAGCAGACACAAGAGGACACCTGGGCTTAGTAGCACACTAGTATAGCTGAATTGATAAGCCCCAGGTATAGTGAAAGACCCTGCTTCAATGCACAAGGAGGAGCGGTGACTGAGGAAGATATCTGAGGTCAGCCTCCGGCTTCTGTGTGCATGTACAACCACATGCACCTCATCCTCCCTGCACAAAATAAAAGAAGGTGTGCTTCAGGAAGAACCTCAGTGGCACAGAGGGCGAGCAAGCTAGAATCCCATGCTTCACCTGAGATGCTCCACACCGGGATCTGTAACTGGAAAAAATACTCAGTGAATCACCGAGATGAAAGCAAGGGAACTACTTTGAAGCTCTGACCACGCCTGCATTTGTTCTTTGGCTGTCCCTGTCTACCTTCTCTGCTTCCACCACAGTGGGCTTTATCTGTGTCCAGCACAGCACTTGGCATATAGTTGCTTCTCAATGTGTATTTGATGGGTGTTGAGACATCTGCTCAAACTTCTATAAAGCTAATCCATAAAGAAACTGAGGCTCAGAGAAAATAAGTGAGTGCTGTAAAGTCACGTAGCTTATTATTAATAAAGCCAGGATAGAATCGAGCACGTTTGTAGCATGATATGCACCTTATCCTATTGTGTGTATAGGCTTCTGAAATTTATAACAATAATTTGTTATCAGCGCTGTCCTTTGACATTGGCTTTATATAAACTAACTTAACATAGAATACCCAGGTTTAGTCTTTTCTTTTGCTTTGACTAAGAACAGAGAAAATGTTAAACACAGCCTACAATTTTGTAAAATCGCTTTATTAATGGGTCAAAAGATCTCTGAAAAAATGTAAGAAAATCTCTCACAGGAAGAGCTGCCAAAGAACCCACTTAGTGTATATGGCAGCTCTGTGGTGAGAACTGTCTCATTGCTCTTGCCAGGGTTCCTGGAGGGTGTCAGAGGCCACCCAGGGATCTAACGTAGGTTTTGAAAAAGTGGCTCCTGATTTATTTTAATTGTTGCAACTGGCATTTATACTTACTTTTGCCTAATTATAAAAGTTCTCTCTGTGGATACGTTGTGCTTATCACTCACAATTTAATGGCTAACATCTTCCAACTGCTAATTGGCGTGCAACAGATGAACCACGACATTAACCCTCTGACCCACATTCTTTAAATATAGATTCTTTGCAGCCAGAGGTGCTAGTTACAGACACTCTGAACATGATTGTTTTCTTTTCGTAAAAGGAGAAAATCAACCCAAGGAAAGTGGTTCTGATGGGGAAGGTGAGTTATGCAGAGAATCTACCTGCTAAGGGTATATTCGTATCAGCCCTTGTAGGTAAGAAAGGGACCTAAATTACTCAGCCCAGCTGGCCACTAGCACAGAAGTCTTGTGTACTAACATCCTGATGCATACTCATCTGTATATTTTTTATTATAATAAATCACAAATAGACCTTTTTACTGGTAATGTATTTCATAATGATTATAATTGCACACTTCAGTAATAAGTACGTGCATAATGGTGCGGAACTATTATCATCAATACTGTTTCCAGAACTTCCCCTGTACTCCGAAGGATCACTCTGCACCTATTAAGTAATAATTTCCCACTCCCTTTTACCCCAAAACTTAGGGAGTCATTATTCCACTCTCTTTCCTTGTGGATATATCTATTTTATGAGTCTAATGTAGGCAGAATCATGGATTTGTCCGTTCATTCTTTTCGTGCATTTCACCTGGTGTGATGTCTTTAAGGTACATCGACTTACAAAATAATCTTAAAAGTTATTTCAGGTAGTCAACACCTTGAAGATGAGAAATGTGTGTTGGCTACTGGACATGGCCTTAGGGTTGATCAGACAAGAATGGCAAAAAGCAACCAAACGCTGAAAGCACATTTTATAAAGAATGGGTATTAACGCTGGAGAGATGGCACAGTGGATCAGAGCACAGTTGCTATTCCAGAGGACCCAGGTTTGATTCCCAGCACCTACATAATAGCTATAAATCATTGGTAATTTCAGTTCCAGAGGATTTGACACTTTCTTTTGACCTCTGTGGGCCCACATGTGATGTATGTATATATATATATATATACACATATATATATACGTATATATGTATATATACGTATACATGTATATATACGTATATATGTATATATACATATATATGTATATACGTATATATATGTATATGTATACATATATATGTATATATGTATACACACACACACACACACACACACACACACGCAGGCAAAGTACTCATACACATAAACTAAGTTTTTTTAATTATAGAGAATGATGAGCATACAATACAAAGCCCTGAGGAGGAAGATGATTCAGAGGTTCTCTGAGTCTTTGAGTTAGAGCCTGGAAAGAGCACACAGAAAACAAACCATTATCACCTTCTTTATTAGGCTCTTTATCTCAATCAATATGGCTCAAGTTAAAATTAGGTTTTGGTGAGCAAATCACTGTGTTTTTATTGGATTAGATCTTCCCTCTTCAGTGTTTGAAGGCTGGAGCTTAAGTATAGAAGGGTGATTTAGGTAAACAATTCTTTTTGTGTGAACTCCAGCCCTAAGCATTTCAGTCAATGTAAGGAAAGACAGAGTGAAGTGTCTTCCACAGTCTCCCACTGGCTAAGGATCATTTCTTATCCCCAGCGGCATGCTTTCTTCTGGGCATGCCGACAGGAAGAAGTTGTGAACAGGGTCGAATTTAGAACTGAGCCAACTCTGGATATTAGGGGTCAATGCTCATTTTAATTTTTCGGTCAAAGAAGTGCGGTATAGACAGGAGATTCTTGGTTTTTGGCACCTTGTGTTCTGTGTGTTGTGTTGAAGTGAAAAATGTCCTCTCACAAACCAGACACTCAACTATCCCAACAACTTTGACTTTCTTCCTTCAGTTTTCTGTGCTGACACGGACAGTTCACGTCCAGAAGTTTAAAACCATTTTCAAACTTTTCTTGTTTGTTTTGTTTTTTGAGAAAGTGTTTCTCTCTGTAGATTTGACTGTCCTGGAATTCATTATGTATACCAAACTGGCCTTGAAGTCACTGAGATCCACCTGCCTCTTCCTCCTGAGTGCTGGCATTAAAGCTCAAGCTTCTTAAATAGAGCTTTTTGTGACATTAGGAACTTGATTGTTTCTTACAGTTTCTGAGCAACCAGAAAATATTTTGCTTTCATTGAGAAGAAGCATTCACTTCAAGTTAATAAAACAAAATGCTGAGCTTATGCTTGTAGGAGAGAATTTGTAGAGTCTAATCGGGTGCTGAAATTGGCAAGAACACGAATTTGAAGTATCAACATGACATAAGGTGACAGAAAAACAACACAGTCATAAAGTAGACGATGAGATTGAGCTTCTTGTCTCATATACTTCCCAGAATCTGAGGTCATTTGTGAATTATCACAAGAACACTTTTCAAGCATGGCTGTCCCTTCCCAGACAGCCCACCTATAAAGCACAGCTTTTACTCAAGCCATACTGAAACTCAGAAAAGAGTAGCCCTTGCATTCATGCAGCCCTTGGTTTCAGTTCCTATCATTCATTGATCAACCGTCATCTCCTCCATCTGATAAGTGAGAATGATGCATTGAAGACACACCAGTGAGTAAAACAACTGGGGTCCTTGTGTTATGGTGCCTGCACTGTAGATGAGACAGGTGTGCAAAACAAATCGACCAAGTGAATACTTGAGTATTATACAAGGTGAATCTCAAGGGAAGAATGAAACAAAATAGCACCATGCAGTCAAGGCTAGAGATTCCCCTCCTCAGACCTCTGCTCATATTCTCCAGGCATCCAGGAAAGCCCAACAAGACTCTGGCAAGTTTAGCTGTTACTACTGCTGATTGATGGTGAAGTGAACTTCCTGGAGATTGAACGGAAGCTGAATTCCTTCCCAGTGTCATTGAGGCTCCCTTACATCTTTGTGTTTTGTTTTCACATGTCCTCCAGTTCCAATGAGGGTTTCGGGTCCGTGGAGAAGGTCGTGCTGCTAACATTCCTCTCGGTGGTTATCCTGATGGCCATCCTGGGCAACCTGCTGGTGATGGTGGCTGTGTGCAGGGACAGGCAGCTCAGGTGAGCACTACAGGGGAACCTCTGGTGAAACACGGGTGTCAGAGGGATCACCCTGGAAAATTGGCTCTGAACAATTTCCATTTTAATTTCTCACGTTCATGAGAACAGGTTTTGAAAGACAGAAAAGGGATCATATATAATCCTACAACCCCAACACTAACATAACCACAGGAGCACCCTGAGCTAATTCCATCATGTCTGTTTATCGATGCTGTGTTGCATTTGTTTAAATAGCTGTGATATATATATATATATATATATATATATACCCTTCTGCTACCAATGATTCAGGGCAGAGTAAGAATAAACATTGTATCTATCACATATTGTCCATTATCAGTGTCAACTGTGACTACATTTATAATCACCTGAGATATTTTTCAAAATACTACCGTATGATATTGGTATGTCCTGTGCAATATTGTGGAAATATTTATGTTTAAAAAAGTAATTCAGTGTTAAAAGTCAAACGGCCATCCTGTATCTTATGTAGCAATCTTCAGTGGAGGAAGATGTTATCCACAAGACTTTTTGTCTAATTGATCCTAAGTTGAACCCTGGGCACTGATATTTGCTAAAATCCACCAAATATTTCTAGTGTGTGGCCTGGTATAAGGACCATTGGGCCGTGAAGGAAGAGATGAGCTAAAGGTAGCTCCTTTCTAAGCAGGACCTGCCCTGAACCAGTAAAGAGGGGGAGAAAGGGCAATGCAGACTTTTGGCTGGGGTCACACACTAAGGGGGTACACAAGAGGGCACCCTAGTAGCTGCATGTAGTACACTTGACACTGTCTGTAAGAGCAGCATCTTGAGAGGGCTCTGTGGGAGCGCCTCAGCCAGGACTAGAGCCAGGGTGGACAGTGACTGGGAGAGTGGGTGGGGAAGAGTGCGATTGTGTGGAGCCTCAGAGCCCTTCTCAGTACACTGGTGGCCTCTGGTCAGGCCAGAAAAGAGAGGGAAAGGTATCTTTGGGCTTGAAATGGGTCTGGAGAAGTCAGAAGAGGCTGAACCACAGCGTTTCTTTTTGGCCGTGGTGCAGAAGGGAAAACTGAGTCTTGGGTATTATGTTTAATGTGTGACTTTTCTTTCCTTGTCTACCTCCCTTCTTTCCTTCCTTCCACTTCCCCCAACTCTTCTCTTGCTTTTTCTTCCTACTTTCTTCTCCATATCCTTCCCCTGCCACCTTGCTCATACTTTTTCACTCACAGGAAAATAAAAACCAATTATTTCATTGTGTCTCTTGCCTTTGCCGATCTGCTGGTGTCGGTGCTGGTAATGCCTTTTGGTGCCATTGAGCTGGTCCAAGACGTCTGGATTTATGGGGAGATGTTTTGCCTGGTCCGGACCTCTCTGGATGTCCTGCTCACCACAGCATCGATTTTTCACCTATGCTGCATTGCACTGGATAGGTAAGAGCTGAACAATACGCAGAATGGAACCCAGTTGACACCAGTGAACTAGCAGATACTAGCCAGTGTCTTTCCTTCCTAACCCATCTCATGAAATTAGTTCCAGAGTCAGAGATGGAAGGTCGATGATTCCTGCACCAGGACAGTCCTCGTGGAGGACTTCTTCCCAGTCAGGCACTCTTAGGGATGTTGAAGATCCAAAAGTTGCACAGTCTGGCAATTGCTTGTAGATAGGTATCCTTACCTACGTTGACTTCTAGCTTTATATTATTGACAGGAATGAAATGCTAAGGGAGATAGGTAGGTAGTAAGATTTAAGTGTCTCTGCCCAGGAGGGTATGGGCCAGTTCAGAGTGACATCACCGTGTTTGAGCATGACTGTCTCCTAAAATATGCCACATGATAACTAAAGTCTAGGAAAGTGCCTGTGATCATGGGGATTTTTTCCCTAGAAAGTGAAAGTTGATAATAAAATTTCTAGTAATTACTGTTTTAGAAATTCAGCTTATCATATCTATCCCAATGTTAACTGGGCTCTTATTGTTCGTTTGTTTTGTTCTGCTTTTTTGTTTGTTTGTTTATACTTTAGGTTGCCTAATAATTCCAACCTTTGCCCCATTTTTTGGGAGTGCATGGTTATCAGCTCTTTCCATTCTCCAATTTCTATTCATTCTCATGGACTAACAGATGAAAGAATATTCTTTAGAAGTCAGACAACTCTGAGAATGTATGTGGCATAGGGGTGAGAACAGAAGAAAATGTGAGTCAGAAGTTTCATGAGCTTAGATTGTCAGAGACAGCATCTCACTTTCTCTCCAGCTGCCCTGAGACCTATTTCCCTGGCTTGGGAAAGACGCGTTTCTTAAATCGAGAACTTAGAAAAATAGTCCGCAAAAGTTAGATAATGTTATATGTCTAAAATATTCATCTTTAAAGAGTAAAGTAATGGCTTCTTAGAAAATTACTCATCAGGGGCAGGTACTTAAGAGCTGCAATGTGCTGTGGTAACAACAGCTTCACCCCTTCCCTATGAGAGCACCGATTGGAAGGAAGGCAGGTGTGACAGCGACAGCCTCCTCCGTCTCTTCCTCCTCCCCCTCTTCTTCTTTTTGTTTGTTTGTTTTTCAAGACAGGGTTTTTCTGTGTAACAGCCCTGTCTGTCCTGGAACTTGCTGTATAGACCAGGCTGGCCTTGAACTCACAGAGATCCACCTGCCTCTACCTCCCAAGTGCTGGAATTTAAGGCGTGCACCACCACCGCCTGCCTGGCAAGCCTGCTCTGTTTAAATCACTTTCTTTGTTCTTCTGACAAGAGCACAAAGTCAAATTGCCTAGGTTCTGTGCAGGTATAATGAGATTCCACTGCATAGATAGGTGCCAACAGCAAGACCCACCATGAGTCCTAATTAGAAATTTCTGTGTCTTAGCTTGCTTATAATTGGACACCAGTGTCTGAAGAGCATCTCAAAGGCATTTTCTACTACATGAAATTTCATATTACAGAAAAGAAAGTATGAGGAAGGAGAAAATGTAGGGAAATCCTAGAGGTTAGCCTGTATATCTTCATTGCTAGAATGATCTGTAAGACTTGATATAATATAGAAACTTAGAGAAAAAAAAGTAAGGCTGGGGATAAAAGGGAGCTGGAAATCAGTGAGATTTTCGCAAAAGCCAGGAGAAGAAAATGAGCCATGCAGGGAATAAAAGAGGACAAAATTCATCTTTCTGCTGTAGAGAGCAGACAGCCCCAAGACAAGAGCCGAAGGTCTCCCATGGGGTTTGGCTTCAGATTTATAGATTTAAGCTTATACTCCCTCTTGAACATTTCTTCATGAAGGCACACATCGTAGGGAAGCAGTTAAGAATTGGACATTAAAAGCCATCTGTTTTCAAATTTGAGGGATTTAACTTTAAATTTCAGCTCTGTCAGATTTTGCCTCTGAGATTGGCAGTGAGTTAATAAGTCTTTCTGAGTCTCAGTTTTCTTTGTCTCAAAAAAAAGGGGGGGAGGCTAAAGTATGTGGGTGCACCCCTCACGGTCCTGAGTTCCTTGCTCGTGCTCTCTCTCCTTCTGCTCCTGATTTGGACCTTGGGATTTCAGTCTGGTGCTCCCGTGTGGGTCTCTGTCTCTGTCTGCTTTCATCGCCCGATGAAAGTTAATCTCCAGGAGGATGACTATATGTCTTTCTTTGGGTTCACCATCCTATTTAGCTTCTCTAGGATCATGAATTATAGGCTCAATGTCCTTTATTTATGGCTAGAAACCAAATATGAGTGAGTACATCCCATGTTCCTCTTTTTGGGTCCGGCTTACCTCACTCAGGATAGTGTTTTCTATTTCCATCCATTTGCATGCAAAATTCAAGAAGTCATTGTCTTTTACTGCTGAGTAGTACTCTAATATGTATATATTCTATACTTTCTTCATCCACATACTGAGACATTGGGGATGATCTATCGGGAACTCAATAAGGCCAGATGGACTGGGTCTGAAAAAGCATGGGATAAAACCGGACTCGCTGAACATAGCAGACAATGAGGACTGCTGAAAAGTCAAGGTCAATGACACTGGGTTTCGATCCTACTGCACGTACTGGCTTTGTGGGAGCCTAGGCAGTTTGGATGCTCACCTTACTAGACCTGGAAGGAGGTGGGAGGTCCTTGGACTTCCCACAAGGCAGGGAACCTGGACTGCTCTTAGGGCTGATGAGGGAGGGGGACTTGATTGAGGGAGGGGGAGGGATACGGGAGGCAGTGGAGGGGAGGAGGCAGAAATCTTAAATAAATAAATAAATAAATAAATAAATAAATAAATAAATAAAAGAAGGCTAAAGAACTGATGCTGCAGGACTGACAGCAGTGAGGAAGAAAAGAGCTAGGCTGCCTGAGGGGGAACATTGTCCACTGTAACTCAGTACTGCGATGAGCGGTAGGTGCTACTGGCCTAATCATTGTCTGTCTTAGCAAGGTTTGACTTCCCTTACAACACCAGAGCATCCTCTGATTGTTCTCCTTGCATCAGTTTATCATCTACTCTCACAAGATCAAACAAATGCCAACCTTCCAGATGGCAACTCTGAGCATTACTGCTTGTCTGGGACTTTTCAGTAGTTACTTGCTTTGAGATATGACCACATTTCTTGATGTGGGGAATCTTAACGTTTAATTTAATTCATTTTGAATTCAATTTAATTTATTTAGAATTTTATACATATGTATTGGATTTATGGTGTTTCTACCCCACCGTCTCCCTACACCCTCAAATGTCCTACTTCCACCAACCCCCCCTCCCCCCCCCGTCCATTAGTGTCACTCACATGTGTATGTGTTTAAGGCTGAAGACTTGGCATTGGATAACCTCATCTCTTGAGAAGACAGATTCCCCTTCTCTCAGCAGTCACTGCCTGCTTGCAACTCTTCTTCTGAGGGTGGAGCCCTGAGATGTCTCCATCTGTGTTGGCCTGCTGATTGGTGCTATCATCATGCAGGTCTTCTTCAGTCAATGAGATTGAGATTTCATGAGTGTAGCAGCTGCCTTGTCCTATATAGAAAACACTATCTTGCGGCAGATGTCCTGGTCCTCCGGCTCTTATAGTCTCTCCACCCCTTCTTCTACAATGTTTCCCAAGCCTTAAGTGTAGAGGTTACATTTTACATATTCCAATTGAGGTTGCATCCCAGTGACCTGTTACATCTTAATTGTTGATTTATTAATTGTTCCCATCTGCTACAAAATGAAGCTTCTTTGATGAAGGGATATCTCCACTTATCTGTGGATATAAGGGTAGGTATTTAGAATGCGGTTAGAGATTTTGCAGGCTTTAGGAAGATAGCGATAGTAGGTTCTCTTTTAGAGTCCAATACTCGACCAGCCATGCGTAATTGAGTAGGTTTACAATACCAGTATGGATTCTCTCTCATTGAGTGGGCTGTAGGTCCAATTAGATGGCTGTTGTTTACCCCTGAGATTTGTCATTCTTGGACCTTTGGCCTTTGTGGTGACATGTAGGTTTTACAGTTGGGTAGGAGTGCTGTTCTGCCTTGACAGATTCTTAGGAAACATCTGTGTCATATCCATGTTGATCCCTGTGTTTGAAGTGTGCAGTGTTTTCAGCAACAGGGTTTTACCTTCAAGTTCTTGGAGGAAATCAAGGGCAATGGCCACAACCTGTGTTGGTTTGGGTTGCCTCTTGTCTACCCTGACCAACAGCTTGAAGGGAAGTTTCCCGTGCCCAGCACTTGGGTTTGTTAGCTATCTATAGCTCTTGGGGAGAACATTATTACTACAAATGACATATTTCATTTAAATGAACTTACCTGTATTACACATGATTTTAAGTAAGCATAAAATGATACTTCCCTGTAGCTTTTTAAAATATTTTTGCATTATTTATCCCTCCCCTCTCTACATTTAAAATTTCCCCTGATTTTTTTCTATTTCCCCCTTATTACACCTGCATCTTACTAGCCATCTGTGAAAAAGATTTTTATCAAATCTTCAAGAATTTCATATAATGCATTTTGATTTTATTCACTCAACTCTTCCCCCAAACTCCTCCTAGTTCTACCCTACCTCCCAAACTTATGCCCCTCTTTAAAATAGCCTATCGCCTCCAATTGTGCTGCTCAGTTACCTCTAAGTGTGGGGCCACTTAAGCACTGGAGTACAGTCCATCTACTGGGAGCCATGCCCTTAGAGCAAACTGACTCCCTTACCTGAGAAGGCATCAACTGTCCATAGCTCCTCAGGTAAGTGTGAAGGCTCATCTTCTTCTCCCTCAGTGCTAGAATTGGCTTGGTGTTGTGCATGTCCTTTGCAGGCAGACAAAGGTAATGTGAGTTCAGCAATACAGGAGTCCTGTCATGTCCCAAAGACGCCACTTTCTCTAATCTTTTCTCCAGTTTTCTCTAATCTCTGGTTCCTCTGAGCTCTCTGCTTCCTCTTTGCTTCAGTGTCTGAGTCCTTGTCTCTCTCTCTCTCTCTCTCTCTCTCTCTCTCT